ATTCTTTTACAACTCTTTTGATGATTTGTATTTCAGCTATGCTCGTATAATGATCTGGATGACGTATCTGTTGTCAACTTTATGTACTGCGGGTATAGCTTCGTATGAATGGTATGGTATTTAAATACGCTTTTAAATGCACAGTGTTGGAGGCAGAATTACGCATTAGTTGGTATCGAGCTCGTGGTAAATACATACGAATACAATGAACAATGCCAAAAAATACCACATGACGACTGACTGTATATAGTTACTGTATAGGTAAAACAGTGCCGGTAAAAAGAATGGTACTATAAAACGTTCAACAATCATTTAGAAATATTATAGTTTTACACGATAAAGGTAAAAAAGTCTTATTTTAATATTTTTCGATAAGTTTATTTTGCCTGCGAACTGTAAATTACATTTTCTATGTTATTCCATGCCAAATCAATTACATGCTGTCATTTCTTAAATGTCAACTATGAAAGGGTTAAATTTGCGAAATCAACTGTAAATGGTTTCAAAGAACCGCGTAATACACCCCGAGTGCTTATTGCTAATTGCTTTCGACCAGAAAAAGATTTTCTTTCCATGAAATGCAACGCATAATGACAAAAGTAGGAACATAGCAGAGTTGAAGTAGAGAAGGGGAGCGCAAAAAATAACCGCTCATCTTCTGTATAACCATGGATTTGGTGGCATTTCTTTACTGGCTTTCGCGCCGCATTGTGGCCTGTTCACGAGCACCGGAAGGACAGGCGCACACCACCGGCGCAGATAGGGAAAAACAGAACATCGACGTCGCGGGGAGGATCAGACAACCGCGTTTCCCACTCCCGAGCTACTGGAGGCATCCCGCTGAGCAAAAACAAGGCCTACGGCCGTGACTGAGACGAAACATGTGTTTGAGCAAACACAACATGACTGAGGTAATGTATGAGAGGCAACTGAAGTTTTGTTGAGTAGCGGCTAAGATACCTACATTTTACATTAATATGTTTCTCGATATACATTATACCTACATAGGAATGTGAGACTGAGATGGATCCAACATGTTACACTAATATAGTTGAAGATAAAAAGCGGAGAAAATATTTGATATTGCTCTTTCGTCTGCCTGGGGGGAGGGGTGGAAGTAAAATATTTTTGGTCTGAAAGTTATTACATTGCAATTTGATGATAGGATGGCGTTCAGGCATAGACTGCGCGGACCGCCGACAGTGTGCCGCAGCGGCAGAGACCGTCCCAGTGGGACGAGAGTGTCCTGATGCGACAGCCCGCTCTGCTGCCCAAACGGTCAGCCCGGAGAGAAGTGGCCCTGGTTTGGACCTGTCTTCACTACCGGTTGTCTGGTTGGGGTGGCAGTCGGCTGGTGTGGCAGCCAGGTCGGAGAGAGAAGAAAGAGAAGCGCGAGGGTGTGTGTGAATTGATTTTCTTCTGAGGAAAGTGAGGACGAATGGACATCAGAGGAGCAAATATGAATTAGATACTTGACCATTTACTTGCAAGGAACTTTAACTGCGTAATATACGAGCTTACTGTAGTTTACCGTAGGTTACGTACTCGTAGTTAACTGTGCATCAGTTGAATCTGAGTGAGGCAATAATGACATGGCTGTTATAGAGGTGCGGAAATATAAGACATTGTAGTGAGCATTTATATTTTTTCAGGTAGCTGTCATTTATTTTACCCTTCTATAGCTTAAATAAAAACACTCAGTGGTGGACGTGGTAGACTTGTAGGTGCTGTGCTGTCGTCTTCGCAAAACATTCATAAAATGGGTATGAACATTGAATACGAACAGCGTAGGCTGCTTCGACGGTAAATAAGTATTTTCCCTCCTCGCAATAAACATGCTACATCACGTTGGCAAATCAGCCGTTCCGCATGGGACGCTTGCTGAGCCACAGCTCGCTAGAAGTCGCTAGTGGTAGACGCCTGAAGTTATGCTGTACCGCACAGCACGCCTAGCTTCAGCTGCTGTCGGTAGATGTCGCTAGTGGTAGACACCTGAAGTTATGCTGTCCCGCGGGACTTGCCTAACTTCAGCTGCTGTCGCTAGATGTCGCTAGTGGTAGACGCCTGAAGTTATGCTGCACCGCACAGCACACCCAACTTCAGCTGCTGTCGGTAGATGTCGCTAGTGGTAGACGCCTGAAGTTATGCTATACCGCATGACACGCGTAATCTCAGCTTCTGTCGCTAGATGTCACCAGTAGTATGCACCTTAGTTACGCTGTTCCGCCATACACGCCCAAATACAGGGTACAGCTGCCCACGTTTACCACTATCGGCAAACACCCGAAATCAAAGGACGTAATGAAGGATGGGCTAATAGCGACATGCTTTTTCAGCCATTCACATCCGATGTTTTGTTGACAGCCAGCGGCGTATTTAGAAAATCGCGAAGGGGGGGGCCAAGGGTTTGGAGGGCGCCACCTCACCCAAGGAGGGCGCCATACGGTCGCGAGATAAAAAAATCGCTCAGCGGGGTGGGGGGGGGGGGGGGGGGTTGGGAGGCGTTTTTTACCATGCCACCAGTTTTTTTTTGCGTAACCTCGTATAGGTCGTGCTGCATTGATTTTGCATCGTGTGTATTCTTTATACTCCAGGTCACAAAAGGTCAAGTGTTCTTGAAATGCTGCGCCGAAGGCGCGCGAAATTTTTGAAAACAACCTTTTCCTCCGCTTTTTAGGCACGCCTTTTATACGATCACCGTTCAAAGCTCCTCTCGCTCTTTTACCAAATTTGAAGGTGTAAAAAATACCTAAGGTTTGGTCGGGCCGCTGCCACACAAACTGTATAGAAAGCTTGGCTCATGGGTGTCGATGTATAAAAGTTTATTGGCGGTGGCATATCTACGCACCAGATCACCGTATCGGATTGATACCGGAGCGCGAGATGCGTAAACATCATCCAAATTACCTCAGACCAGCCTTCATAGCCTTCTCACAGATGCATACAGTGTACCCACATAACCAGTTTCAATCACCGAAACTTCAGATGCCTGCTGTTGCGGCCGAACCTATTGACAATACTTAATCGTAATCCATATACATAGATGCCATGATGCACGTAAAGTAGGATCAATCCGTTAAGACCAAAGACGTGTCTTATGCATCGTAGAGCGTAGATAGTTTTGGTAGGTATAGGTACTTCATTCATTGTGCTGAATGCACGTTCATTTGTGGCAGTTTTCACAGGCAAGACATCAACTATGTGCAATAGAACGACTAAGTTGAAAAACATGCCAAAGGAGTAAATAAATGATAAGAGGGCAGCGATCAACGGATGTTGCCAATAGGTAGAAGGGCTGCGATCCACAGGAGGGCGCTAATAGGTAGGAGAGCCCCGATCAACATCCCGAGTTTCGATAGTAGGGCACCGATAGGTAGGAAGTTGGCGAGCAGCAGGAGGGCGCCAACGGATAGAAGGGCAGCGATCAACAGGAGGGCACCAATAGGTAGGAGGGCCCCGATCAACAATCAACAGGAGGGCGCCACCAGGTAAGAGGGTGGCGAGGAACAGGAGAGCACCAATAGGAGGGTGGCGATCAACAAGAGGTCGCCAATAGGTGGGAGGGCGGTCATCAACTGGAAGTCGTTAATGAGCGGAAGGGTGACGATTAAAATGGGGGTGGCAATGGTGAGGAGGGCGCCTTTGCTCAAGAGGATGACACGAACAGGAGGGCGTCTGTGCGGAGGGCGCTGGTCAACAGGCAGGTACCAGTGGATAGGAGGGCGGTGATCAACAGGAGGGTGCCAACTGCCAGTGGTTAGGAGGGCGGCGATCAACACGAGGGCGCCAATAAGAGAAGGGCCCCGATTAACATTCAACAGGAAGGACTAGGGAACCAATAGGTAGGAGGGCGGCACTGAACAATAGGGTGCCAAAAAGGAGAAAGGCGGCCTTGAAAATTTCACATGAGGGGGCAATAGGTAGGAGAGCGCCAATAATTATGAGGACGCCGATCAGCAGAAGGGCGGCAATATGTAGCAGGGTGGCGACCTACAGGAGGGCGCCTTCGGGTGAGAGGGCGCTTATTTACGGGACAGCGGCTTACATAGGCGACCACCGTTACGCTTAGAGAGCTACAGCCTACAAATGTGGTTGGAGGGCGCCCGAGGGAGCCCTCCAACCGTATTTGGAGGGCGTATTTGGAATGGGCGTCCTCCGAGGGCGCCCTCCATCCGTATTTTCCCTGTAAACACATTCGCGATTGGAGGGCGCCCTCCAGTCGCGATTGTTTTTCGATTCGATTATATCACAATTGCATTTGCGATTGGAGGGCGCCTTCGGCGCCCTCCAATCGCAAAGGGCGCCTTCGGCGCCCAAGGGGGGGGCCATGGCCCAGTGGCCCCCCCTGCCTACGCCCCTGTTGACAGCAATTGTTTCTCATAGGTAGAATCTGAGTGAACGTAGACGAATGAGGACAGCCTTAGTAAGTATGTATACCTACATGCGGGCTTAAAATATTCGTCCACCTCCCGAACTGTACTTTCCGTCTTTTATTGCTCATTTTTTGAGCCACTACGAGCGTCGAGCATATTATGCACATAATTATCTTTCCACTGCTTTTACGTACCTATGTAAGTATGACCTACGTGCTGCACACTGCCTGGTGCCTTTCGGAAAGAATGCAACCGTATGTCAAACCGCTTTTAGGGTTACCTTTTGACGTGTTCTCAAGAAAAGACCAACATTGTTATTTTACAGATTCCTATTTACGGAGCGGCATCTCACAATTGATGCAGCTATCATTCAGATGTCAGCCGTCAGCTCCTCGTGTACGAACAGAGCTGCAGCGTCATCTCCTGGTCGGATGCGGAACTAGCAGTACGGAGGCCAGTCGTCGACGGCGTGTGTTGTCCGCCGTATAGGACGGTGTTGGTGGACCGGGACGCGAGAGCAGCATGCTAGTTCATGTGCTGAAGTGCGTGAAGCGTTTGTCATCAGTGAAGTACGCATGAATGATTGAAATGAATGAACGCCAGATATGAACTTAATGACGATAGTACTGTCTAAAGCGGTTGCATTTATTGCAAGTTCATATAAGACATCGGCTTTAGCATCCCGGTACCTTGCACGAATCTATAGTAAACAGTACATCCATTGCAGACGAAAAGCAAAAATAAATTATGCAAAACGTTTGCATGGCAATGAAAGGCAGCCATAAGAAGTAGTATCGTTGGTGCTATTTCTACGCATACACATTTGCTTGTCCCTTCTTTTTACTTAAAACAAAAATATTTTATTAGCCCCATGTTGCCTTAACATCCGTCTTAACTTAGCATACAAAGTGAAGTCAGGAAACGACTGCTTGATGCCTCTTTCACTCAGGTAATTATTTACTTATATAAAGTCATAAAAGTCATATTGCTTAGCTGGAACTGCTCTTGTAAGCAGCTACAATCGCGTAGGTTGCACAATGCACATTCAGCACTCACAAGCAGCATATCGTGAGCGAAAGCACATTCAATCTTAGTTAACACTTATTTGCTTAACAGGTTGGACAGTTTTTTTTTTTTTAGAATGCCCATTGCCCACTCAGCGTTCATACGAGAATTGAGACAGAAACTCTTACGGTCCATATTGCACTGGCACATATCGCTTCATATTGCTGCCGATTTCAGCCAGAGCTTGATGGTATTGCTTTGTTCTTGCTTTCAGTATAATATCACCAATGGATGTCTTCAGACTCCCAGCCATTTGCCCGCTGGAAAAAAATGGAGCGGAATATTTTATCACGAGTCATTGCATTTCAGTTACGTGTAAATGGCCATGAAAATATGACACATTTTGGCACGATTTGTTCAATTTGCATGAATGATCGAACGTTTATTCTCACCTTTATAGCGCATATCGTGCTTCATGGGTGGACATATATTCCCATCCTGAAACAGAGGCCAGTTTTACCAACAGAAAAATAGCAGCCCGGCGCAATTTTTCTGTCAAAAACCAGCCGACGAGTTTCACCAACCAGGCGAAAAAATATCCGCCGGCGTGAAAAAATATCAGCCAGAAAAATAGCCAATGAGTTTCACCAACGGCAAATGCGGCATTAATGGAGTGTTATTTTGCGCCATTATTTGTAGAAAAACAGCCCAAAAAATAGACGGGGGACCCCGTCTATTTTTTTGATGTCGTGTTGGAACAATTGGCCTCATTTGTTACTAATTATCGTGATTTGCGCTTCCCAGTTGATATAATAGTTTAGTATCATTCATGGCCAATTTGTAAAGCATCTGGGCTTCAAGATTAGAAGAGGAATACTGATGATATTGCGTAAAGAAAGAGCCTTTGTCACCAGGCAGGACCAAAAGAAACCAACAAGACGGGTGTTTGGTGTTGTGGTGTTAGTTTTTTCGTTTAATATTATCTTTTTGCTACAAGCACCCAACAGCAAGATGATAGAGCATTAACTAGTGGTCATTAACTAGTGTTCATTAACTTCCCTTCATTGCTCGGACGGAAGTTGAAGTGGAAAATAATGATGGAAGGTCATTTTCGAAAATTGAAGGTGCTTGAAGAAATGCTGGAAGGAGAGGCAGAGAGGGTAGGCTCATTGGACTCAAGATTTTAAATAAATATGTCACTGTTTTCACATATTCAGCTACATTTGACATGGCAAGGCGCCAGCTACTGATACCACTACTACTTTTGGGTGGAACTTGCTTGAGCTGTGCGGAATAGGGAAGGTGCATTGACATTGCTAAGACCGAATTGGCAAGATTTTCAAGATAAATGACAATAAATTTTTAAAAAGAAATTGAATAGCATGAAAGAAATGTATAAAGGCTTGTTTTTGAAGCAAAACGTGCAAAGTTTGTATGGTTGCAAACTCGAACAAACTTGCTGTCACAAGATTGTGCCACTGAACTCAGCAAGTCATGCTGCCAATATTGAAGGGAAAGAAAATAATAGTAATGTTGTAAAATGTAAATGAATCCATAACTGTTGTGTGTGCACTGTGCTGATATTGAATGCATGTGTATCTTGCATGCTTGAGTCATGCAGGGATCATGTTAAAACTGGCTGTAAGTATTGTGAGTTAGTTTTGGAAAATTGTGGAGGCACCAGGCAAATTGCGGCCAAAATGTTATTTGTTCACCTCAGCGCTGACCTTTCTGCACACAGAGTTTTCAGATCATGCGCCGAAATGTTCATGCAGCCCGTCCGTTACACTGGTCATGTTGACAGTGACAAGGGTTTTTTCCCAGTCTCATGTTGAAATACAATAATAATTCACTTAGCTTGATTTAGCTTATGTTTTTCATGCCAGTTCCTAGAATAATGCAACAAATATTTTCTGTCATGTGAGAAATATAATGACAATATGCACAATTGCAGGCTGTGGCATGTTGTGAGGTTTTTCCTTGTTTATTGCTGAGGTTTTTCCAGTATCTGCTGCAAAAATGGTGGTGAATCCACCGTCGTCCGACGGTTTCGATGACGCTAATCATCGGCGAGTGTTGCTGTGATGGCCGACTGAGCGCACAGCGGCAGCCGCCGTCGCCAATAACGACAGTGAGGACACCTCTGAGTCGGACGGAGACGCCGCCGCTGACGATTTCACCGTGCTGGACGAGGTGGAGCGCTCGAGCCGACAGGCCGTGCACCGCGTGCGCTGCCCGACTGGCTGGCGCACCCGCAGCCGATTGGCGACCGGCGGCCGGCGCCGGCCAATCTGCCGGCGCTCTGCCCCGAGCTGCGCGCCCGGCTGGCCGCCGAGGGCATCGAACAGGTGTTCCTGGTGCAGGTGACCGTGCTGCCCGAGCTGCTGGCGGCTACAGAGTCGCCGCTGCCACCGGCCGACCTCTGCGTCTCGGCGCCGGCCGGCCGCGGTACGACGCTGGCGTTTGTGCTGCCGGTAGTGCAGGCGCGGCGCCGGCCGCCGGGCGCCGGGTGCGCGCGCTAGCTGTGCTACCCACACAGGCGCTGCCCGTTCAGGTGCCCGCCGTGTTCCGCCAGTACGACGCCGACACGCCGCTCTGCGTCCGGCTGCTTGGTGGAGACACAGTGGCACGAGGGGGCGCCAACTGGTGGCGGTGGGGCCGCGCGGCCCGGTCTCCCTGGCTGATCGTGGTGAGCACTCCCGGCTGGCTGATGGATCACATAACCAGCTCCGAGGGCTTCTCGCTAGCGCACCTGCGCTACCTGGTGATCGACGAAGCCGACCGGGTGATCGAGATGGCCGAGACGGGCTGGCTGAAACTGGTGGAGCGGGTGGCGGCGGCCACGGCCCGCCGCCCTGCATCGCCGGCCGGCTGACGGCCGCCGCCGTCTGCGCGCCTCACCTGCCGCTGCAGAAGCTGCCGTTCTTGGCCACCCTGTCACAGAACCCGGAGGCCGGAGAAGCTGGAGCGAATGTCGCTGTTCCAGCCGCGACTGCCGGCGGCCGGCACGGCGGCCGCCGCCGTCGCACTGCCCGGTTAGTTCGTCGGCAGGTTCACCACGCCGGCCGAGCTGAGCGAGTCGTTCAACGTGGTGGCGCCGCAGCCGCTGAAGCCGCTGGTGATGCACCATTTGCTTCGACAGCCCGACTGGCGACGCTCCCTCGTGTTGGTCAACTGGAACGAGGTGGCGCACCAGCTGGAGCTACCGCTGTCTGTGCTGGGCGCGCGCGTGACTGAGTTCTGTGGGGTAGTGCCGGCGTGCCGGCGGCGGCGCGCGCTAGGTGAGATGGCCGCGCTGGTGTGCTCGAGGCTATAGCGCGCGGTATTGACGTGGACGCCGTGGACGCGGTCGTGTCGTACGACATCCCGGCGCTGTTGAAGACGTACACTGCGTGCGTCGGACGGCGCGCATCTGCCGGGCCGGCCAGGCGGTCAAGCTAATGTTGGAGCGGCAGCGCAGCCATTTCCAGCGGCTGATGGTGCAGGCGGGCAAGGCGGGCGGCCGGGTGCGGGAGACGCTGGCGCTGCTGGACGAGCTACGAGCTGCGCCAGTACGAGGCGACCTACGTCAGTGGATTTCCACACTAGCTTCTAGTGGATCGCTGTTGTTTTTTATGCCCATTGCTCATGATTTATTTACATTTTAGAAATATTGCAATGTATAGGTGTATGCCTTGCCATCAGCCTAGAAAAGTTAAAGTAAGTAAAGCGTTTTAGTTGCATAATGTATATTTGTTCATGAACACGGATTTAACATGTCCTAACTCCCAAATATTTCGATATTAGACCCGAGTTACAAACCAATCGAAAGGCTTAGACGATCATTTGGGGCGTAGCCAGACGGCTCGGCTGGATGTGAAAGCCGGCGACCAAGGTGGTGACCACCCGATCATAATGCAGAGCGGTCTCCGTCGGACGATTGTGTCCGCGCGCAACGAATGATCTCGGCACACGCGGAGGAGTTCGGCAGGACTCTCCACTGAGCGGTACTGGGCGCAGTCGAACGACGGTCGACGACGCTAACGCAGGTATTGTTAATTTGTTACGACTTACGAGCTGGACCAGTGTAGCGGGCCCGGAGCGAATATTCTTTGCTGTGTGGCGTTCCTTCTTCTCGACCGGGCCCGGCAAACGGGGCCTGCATATCGGCTAAAACCACCTAGCCGGGCAGTCTGACATCCACCTCGCCGAAGCAGAGCGAGCGACCACCCTCAGCCCTGCGATGACCGCGGTGCAGTTAATCTGGGTAGGTATTTTCCTAAGGTAAGACACTCGCCTTGGCACAATGCTTTATATAGGCCTTGGCGAGTTCGTTAGCCCTCTTACTCCCGCTAGAAGGTGCTAATGCAGTGCACGCGAAGCCGCCTCGTAGCACCGCAGTTCAATCGCTCGGCTGCGGAACTGTCCGTCGTCCGTCCAGCTTCAGGTGGCGTCTCTGGGAGCAATGTTGACCGCTTCTTTGCCGCTCTTTTGAAAGCTAGGAAAGAGGTGCGGCTCCCGAATCTGTCGGGAACGGGACTCATAGGCGGCGGAACGGGTAGGGCACCGGGGCACCGTGCCCCCCTTTGATTTTGACATTTTAATATAAGCACTATGGGCGTTGCATGGAAGAATGGGACCAAAAGTCGGCAGTGCCCCCTTAAGTCGGCAGTGCCCCCTGTTCCGCTGCCACTGGAGTGGTCCCATCTAGTCCCCACCTCATAGGTGGAGGTCCACACATTGCGTTCTCGGTCTACACGATGATTTTCTACAAGGTGCGACTAAAAACAGACAAAAAGGTACATAGCAAGTTGAAGGTATTGTAAAAATTAATATAATAGGCTGACAGGAAAAAAGATCCATCTTAAATTTGCCTTAAATGCAAGCTTCCTTACGTCACCTTTATGAATGACGTACCTACGTTTACAATTTGGTAGTTGTCTATTGATTGGCTTTTGCTAGGCACCAGAATGTTAATATAGATATGAAAGTTTATAATGCTCTACTTTGTTGTTATTACTCTTGAAAATAATGTAATAATTTACGATTATAATATTTCGAAATGTATATAGCATTTGCATCAGAAATCACGCTTCAATTTGATTGAAAACATGCTTTAAATGATTTATTAATCTCCTTGACATATCGTAATTTGATATCGTAACAGAATATCAGCTGACTACCGGCGACAAATAATTTCCGTCCGAAGTCGGCTGGAATTTTTTGTTGGTGAAACTCGTGGCTGTGTGGCGTCTATTTTTTCGGCTGGATATTTTATTTCGGCGGCCGGCTGGTATTTTTTGGTAAAACTGGCCTCAGATATCATTTTTGGGTCAGTGACGAATAGAACGAACATGATTTATGGAACACCAATTTCCAGGTGATGGGAGGATCAATCTGACTTAACGGTGATAAGATTCAACCTACAAAATATGTCCGTGCGTGTATCCCCTATAGCCGTTTTCATGACGGGCTATCCGGCAAGTGCACCTAATTTGACCAAATCTGCACCTAATCTCTTTTACGGCAAATATCTTTATTTTATGAATTTATTTCAGTGTTTTAATCGATGATGCTCTCTGATAATATGAAAAAGCGCATATAAGCAATTAGTACAACCCTAGCTGATAGCTACTAAGAGACACACTGAACCTAATTTGACCAAATCTGCACCTAAACTGCACCAGATGTGCACCAAATGTGTACCATGTGGCCGCCGTGAAAACGGCTATTATCGCTAGCATAATAAAAGTACGTTATTTATGGCGTTGATGACTTTTGTTTGAGTATATGTACAGTGGGTCTATTTAAGATCTCCAGAGCCACCACGTGGCGCTACGGTCGGGGTAGGGCGAGTCCAAATCCCGAGGGAAGTGAGGTCACCGTTCATTGTGGGGGAAGGAGGGAGGGGGGGGGGGGGGGGGTGACGCGGTATCACGGCGCATGGGGCGTGCGTAGCGCCGGGAGTGGGCCGCCCAGGGCCGCCCGCCACTGCGCCGAGGCTGAGGGGAGGGGATGATGGTTGCGGGTGCGTTCACTCCGGTATGGTGGTATCCTGTTCATGTGGAACCGGCAAGAACGCGACTGAAGGGAATCATTATCTCAAACAAACGGGCAAGCCAGAGGCAGCGTCAGTTCCAGCCAAAATGTTGAACAATGTTAATTGAAACAATCTAGGACGTATTCATAGCCTGCAACTTCTCAGTCGATAGTTGCATGATGCTTTTCATGATGCATGATGAGGCTTCTCTAAACTGTTATTTGATGTATATTGATAGAGACAAGTAGAAAAACACGGAACAAATAGTGCATGGACGCGTTTCGATTATTAAATCTTCATCAGCATGACATAATCACAGAGAAAACATAGATATATCTTGTTTTCTCTGTGATTATGTCATGCTGATGAAGATTTAATAATCGAAACGCGTCCATGCACTATTTGTTCCGTGTTTTTCTACTGTTATTTGAGTTAGATATTTTTCATTTGGCACGTTCAGTTTTGGTGGGTTTTATCGGGTCGAAAAGAATCAGAAAAGAAAAAAAAGAGTTGAAATGACTCCAGAAAAATGACCAAAAATATTTTCCTAAAAAATTAAACTTAGCTAAACGTTTATAAGCGATAATTTTGACTTTTGGGGAAGAGATTGGGGAAAGATATTGGGGAAAGATGTCATCGTGCTTAGCTGTGTTGCAGTAGAGGGAAAGTTTTTGGTTGTGTCTAGATAAAACCAGACCCGGGAGTGGGGCTCGAACTCACGACATCGCGTTCAGCTCACAGATTACCCAACCTCAACGCTACGAGCACCTATCGCCCTGCGCAGCTTGCTCAAATGCTCAGTGTTTCGGCTAAAGTTCGGCCAAAGTGTCTGACGTCTGTCAATGTCACGAGGCGAAACCCCAAGGTAAATGTCCGTCCCGGTAGCTCGGTCGGTAGAGCGTTGGACTCCATGTGCCATGTGGTGAAGGCGCACGTCCCGGTTGCAAAAGTCCGGGTTCGAAACACGACGTGTGCTTGACGTTTTTAGCCTCCTGACGGGTATGGTTGTGGTTGGTGGCAGGCCGCTGCCAGGCGAAGTCAGCGAGGGGACTGGCCGTGCGTGGCTATGTGCGCACGTTAAAATTTGGACTCTAAACCACAGACCACTTTGCCATAGACTAAACCTCAAAACCATAGTCTGCAATAGACCAGGAATTGCTTGATCGGAGGGTAGATGGCAGGTTTCAACGCTTAACAAGCTCAGCTTAGCGGGGACTCAGTCCTTGTGATTCCTTTCATTCAAAAGGTTCGGGCCAAATTTATATTAAAAAAGGGGGAGCCGAACCAGGTTGGGCCGAGTTGAACCAGGCTGGACCGGGGTCATACATGCAATCATGGTCAGACAAAACAGAAGTTAATTTCGGGTCAAATATTTTTATTAACTGATCTTATTGTTTTTTTTAGCTTACACGTAAAATAACTTTTAGCTTTATTTAACTGGAGACTTCATGCACAGAAATGTGGCGTTCGTCCACTTTTCCTCATCGTCTCTTAGCGACTTGATTTCATGCGGATAATGAGGCATGGTGGGGTGGGGAGGGGGGCATCGGGGCACCGTGCCCCCGTTTGATTTTGGCATTTTAACATTAGCCCTATGGGCGTTGCATGGAAAGAATGGGACCAAAAGTCGGCAGTGCCCCCACTTCATTAAAGGTGTTCCGCCGCCACTGCTTGATTTGACCCTAAAGGCGTCTTACCAGAAAAAAAAATCACCTGCGTTATGCCTAAATATTTGCCCAAGGGCGCTCTACGCAAGAAACGCCAGCCGGTCAAAAAACTGGCGAACGAATACGATCTCTCTAGTGCTTGAATTATATTCAATGAAAATTTCAGGAGACATAAATAATCTTAATCCTTATAGCTAGGCGCTCGGAGCATTCGCTAGCATTCAATTGCCAGCTGCATTATCAACGCCACATTTGCATTACTCTGGGTGCATCATAAGTAACAGCAGGTGAACCGGCCACAGCAAAACCATGCCTCATTATCCTTTCCTTCCAAGCTGCCAAGCTAACCGGCCGCCCGGCCCACCACCGCGATATGGAACAACACTGGAGTGCGCCATTTGCCTACGGCAGTGCCCCACCGCGCCGGGGCTGTTTGACAGGTCACCCGCACCGTGACCTCGCCAACCGCCCCCCCCCCCCCTCCCCGCCCACCTCCCCATCGGGCCCAGCTCGCTAGTGACCTCTCCTTGAATTTGACATGGACTCGACTAAGGCTCAACGCCATCTAGTTACGTCTGGAGATCCTAATAAGATCCACTGTACAGCTTACCTTTTGCTGATGCATGATCCGGGAGCGAGTTATGGAAATGTTTCACGCCTCCCTCCGCCTCGATGTGCAACTTTGAGTGTGATAAGGCTTGAGCTAAAATGTATGATAGTGTGAACGGTCCAGCTGGCACTAATCAGTGACTTGTCTACCGACATTAATTAAGTCTGTTACCATTCAGGCCAACAGTGCTAACTTCTACGTGACACGCACCTTGGGCTCGAAGTCGATGTTTGTTCGCACGACCCGATTGTTGAGCCGCTGCACCGGTCTGTAGTTGTTCCCCAGACTGTCCTGGTCGGGCGCGTTCCTGGAGCGCTGCTTCAGCTGCTTCAGAATCGGAAGCTGTGCGTGCAAAAGAACACAGTCGCAATCTTAAATCCATAGGTAAATGGCCTATGTGGTGAAAAAGTTTGATGTAATAGGATTTATTGACTTTGTATTAAAATCTGATTGTTATGAAGCTTAAAGTTTTCAAACATGGAGCTTAACTATGTTATGAACTCTTCGAAATATGTGTATGCTCTGCAAATGCAATGTTGGTCGCGTACCTGGTGGTGCGACATGTAGATGGGCTTGTTGAAGACGATCCAGGTGACTGTCTCCTGACAGGCGGGGCTGGTGATGGAGCCCTCGTACGTTATGTACTGCTCCGTGTTGGGAAGCAGACCCACCAGAGAAACGCCCTCCAGTCGAGTCCAGTCGTCTAGAAAAACGCATTAGTATATGCCAGTAAAATCAGTACAAAAAGTGTATCATGTAACGAATGCTTGTAAGGACGTTATGCTTGGCACTGGACAACATTTTTATTCGGAATATGTATTGGTAGTTCTGAATAAAAGCGTTCACAAGCCAATTTGATGTGCTTTACACATCACCTCGTTTACCCGTTTCCACCGTCTCCCCGTTTCTCAGTCTAACTAAATAACGGCGCACACCTCGTCCCTGCTCCTCAGCCGTCTCGTCCCAGCCCGCTCGCCCCTGAGGAGCGTCGCGCCGATGCCGGGTCGCGCTCCGTCCGTGCCGGCTGCTCCCGCGCCTCTCATTACACCCATCTCCCAGGGGTGCAGCGACACGTTAGTGAAATGAGCCGGCCACAGAGGAGCTGGGGGTCCCGGCTCAGTCCGAATGGATGGCCACCTCGTCGCCAGGCACGTCGCTAATGACGGCGGCGTTTGGGCGTTTCGCGCCCATCGCTTGCCGTTTGGGGTTTGTTGAGGTGCAATTAAGCTTGAACGGAGCCGTGGGTAGAGGCGTGGTGGTAAGACAGAGGACACGGGAGGGAGGGTAGCTGATGGGATATTAAGACAGCGTAACGAGCGTATGGACAGCGTATGGACGTACGGACAGCTCATGCATAAACTTAACGATCGATGACTTGTATAACCTTTACCTTGGTATTTTGTCCGCTTCATTTCATTGATGATTGTTCCGAGCTCCGGGTTCGGTAATGAATTGACCTGGAATATAACAAAAAATATACAGCACTGAAATATTAGTTGAATGTACAAATATAATAGATTTTATGTATATTTACATAAAATCTATTTTCCCTGAGACCATGTAGGTAAATAATCCATGACCATGAACCGCACTAAAACTTTCACTATAGAATTCACACACCTCGGGTAGAGGTAGTCACTTCCTCTCTTCCTGGTTCCTCCTGAACCCTTCAGCTCCCACTCTATCGCCGGAGGCAATGCATGCGGTATGAGCTAACACCGATGACCGCCTACCTTTACGACTCTGGTCGCTTCAGGGGCCCTCTGCTCCGGTGACCTCGGCGATGGGGTTTTAGTTATTCACGTATGTGGCGCCAAGCTCTGAGGTCATTGCCAAAATATCTGTATGTACAGTGTAAGTACAGTACACCCAACGTTGTACTCTGCGTAATTTATGTGCCTTTCCTAGAGATCCATCAATACGTTTCTTCCTACTGAAAAGAGAGCAGATATTTGAGGGCACAAATGTACGCAATCATTTTGCTCATTCTTATTCTAGTCAAAGCTCATTTTGGTCAATCCAATTGTCTGAAAATTGATTTGCCGTCATTTTCGCCGAATGCGTAACCGAATGGTTGAAATAAAACTACAATTAGCTAATGATTGGCCCGGCTGATGACCAACTGTCCATTTATTGGCATCGTTAAATTACGAATGTCTTTCTCACCACAATCAGGGGAAACTGAATGTAATCAAGGAATGTTATGGGCTCCAGCTTAGACTCACCGCTGCTTGAGTTGTATTTGCACAAGACAAAATACAGGAAGTGAAAGTGATTGCAAGGGCAAACTAGCTTTTACACAATATTGAAAAACTAGCCCATATCATCTAGAAAACACATCCAATTTTACAAACTATTCGTATAGATCAGACTCACCTCGATTTGGACGAGGATGGCGATGCCGACTACGCCATGCGACTGATCCACCGCCTCGCTGTAGTTACGGTACAGGTGGCTGTTGTACCCCATTAAATGGATCTGAAACGAACCGCACACATCAGGCAACGACAATACAATAGTCTCGCTCTAAACCTCACTTGACTGGAGGCGTTTTCTGCTGGAGAAAGTCCCAGAAGTGTCTCATTAGATGCAAGCCTCGGGCTTGGCAAGGCAAATTCACGCCGCATTAAATCACCAAGAGGTAAAACACAAAGTCGAGTTTATTTGCAGCCAGCCTTGTGTTCAGGAATGCTTCACGTATCACGAGTCGACTGTCAAATTGCTGTAGAGGCGAGTTTTCAGACACAAGCCCGATCCCTTACCATATTGTCACCGTCACACTGTCCCTGGACACGCCATTTAACAGAGACGTCGTCCAATTCAAGACAATACCGCGAGCCGCTCGGGGGATAAGGGGGAGGGAGGGGCGCATGACCACTAACTACCGCCGGGGAGCTCAGGTCAAATGTCTCCAGATTGTCTCTCAGATGACCACGGATACGCTCGGATGTCGCTGAAGAGGACATCAGGCACGACTAGGAGACTGCTAACGGCGTCATTAGCAAGGAGCTACTGCTGGCAGAGCGGTGCCCATTGTCGGCCTATCCTCCGTTCCAGCCGTAATTGAGGGGGAGGAGAGACCAACGCGCTGGTTTGCCACGGCTATGAGAGAAATTGAGCCACCAACGGTTTACGAGAGGTCAAATATAGTGTTATCTCAATGGCCTCATGGATTGGCGTGAAAGCCTCACCGCTGCCTTTTTCATTGGTGCAGTCAAAATGTGCCCTTATGGCCTATTTAGAGCATATTCTTGTGCAAATGCTTGATGGCATGATATTCGTGCCTCATTATACTTCTAATATGTTTAAGGACCGAAAATACTGCAGCTGCCATTGGCTTTCGATAGCGAATTCAACTTTCAACCATCTCAAACTTTCGTTCCGATCACACCCGTGTTTTCGCCGCATCACCCACCTCAGCGGGGAAGCGTTTTCCGTTGACGACGTGCTCTGAGCCGGCCACATGCCGCGAGGAGCGTCGCCAGTCGTCGGGCACCAGGCCAAAGTGCAGCTGCAGTTTCTCAAATGTGTACTGGTAGGAGAGCGGGCCGCCACTGATGTTCACCGTCCGAGACGGGTCTGCCGTCAGAGTGACGTCATGACCCGTGTTTCGTAGGATGCCACGCACCTGCAGAGTGAGAAGAGAGGCGTCACTTGATGAGAGCCTTGGGGGTAATGAGTATTACGAAGCATGGCTGAGAACATTAGTGTTATTGGGAGCTGTTTTTTTTTTCACGAGCTCTGCTGTTACGGGTTGGTGTGCTTGCGTTCTTGTGTGCACGTTGGTGCGACAAAGTGATAAATGAATCATTCTGAAACGTTTCTAGAACACGGTTAAATCAGCATGCCTGCACATTGCACAATCGTTTTGGGGGCCGTCAGTCTGGAAGCTCGCCGTGTAGCCTCGGATGAACGGCCTGCTTCGAGAGCAGCCGAGGTCGTTGGTGTCCGGGGTTGGTGTCGGTGAGTCGGGGTTGTCAGTCTGGACTTCGGGCGGAGACCAGTCGGGCGGGTCGAGTTTGAGAGGTCGAGTCGGAGGTGGTCAGTGTGGTCGTTTGGGTGCTGGCGTCAGTCGTCTGAGAGCTGTCCGTCTCGGTCTGGGTCTGAGCAGCATCCAAAGCGTACAGGGCAGCCGTGGCTGGTTTCTATTTTGACGGACCCCCTCACCACGGATGCCGTATCTTCCTTCAGAGAATTCCTCCAACGGGTAACCACTAGCCCTACCAACATCGCTGCCTAGGAGTCGAGCTATGCCTCACGGCTACTCCTCCAGAGCCACCAAATTCCAGTCAGAGTTGTACCCCTAAGACGGGCGGAACATGACTGGGGCACCCGGGTCACACCGGCTGCCATAACCCGCTGGCTGTCTCACTCGGAAGGCCGGTTTTTATTTTGGCCGATCCCTGCGAACAGCCTGCGCAATTACACTTTCACTGTCCACATTAGAGATATAACGTAACGTAACTATTACGGGGATTTTTACTGTACTCAACAGTTTTTGCCCCTGGACTTAGGCACCAGGTTTTTTTCTAGTTAGGACTTTTCCTGGTAAATACATCCCACAACAAACATCACACATTGCAACACCTCACACCATCAGCAGCAAGATTTACAGCAGCAAGTATGAATATTCTACCCCCTTTCTGGACACCCTTGCCTTGTTAATCGGACGCCACATGAGCCGAATTAAAGTAAAGTTTGCTTCTCTCTCTTGCTTGGGTCAGAATTAAATAGCTGACAGTAAAGTAAAGTAAAACGAAAGATCTGGCTCATTGCCAGCCTTAGTAATTTCCCTTTCCCTGGCGGTTGCCTTAGGCATGCCGGGAAGACTAAATTAAAAAAAAAACATTGCACAATTCCTTAGAAATCCCTTAAGTGGCGTAGTGACCTAAATGTTTGAAAGTGCAAAGTAGTCATTACTCAATTGGTGAGAGGTCCTTTGATGTTTGCCGCCTGTTCTATACACTAGTCAACAGAATGGAAATCTAATTAGGCACCACTCGGCTCTACAAACCTAGGTTCCAGTCAGCTAATTAGCCGTGCTTTATACAGGGACGTGGGAGCTCAATGTGTTAACTCGACAACATACATACACGTGTCTCACAAGGCTCTGGTCTCAGTGGATTGCATTGATAGGACGGTGGGTCTCCAGGCTTTCAGGATTTCGCTATGGCTATGTGCAAGGGTTGAAAAATGAATATCCCATCCCCCGCCTCAAACATGCTTACACTTATTATGCCTACCTGATAGCTAATTCTGTGCCGATTGCATTCGTTTTGGCTCCTTTGCAACCTGCACCGATGCCGACCTCGCCTTTCAGAGCTCTCACTTTTATGCCTCCTCTGAATGCCCCAGTGTTCACATGTTTTTTTCCTCCCATTTCACTCACCGTGTCCTTTCCCAATATCTAGCTCACCCTGTCCTTGTCCACGTAGACGGTGCGCAGGTGTTTGTCAAACAGTAGTCGTGCTGGCTCGATGTTGATCGGGGACTGCTGTCGCCCCTCCTTGCAGATCCGCCAGGCCGGCACAAAGTCGCTCCAGTTCTCTGGACCTGTGGTGGCAGTCAGGTCACGTCAGGTCAGCGAGCGCTCTGAAACGTTATCTCAAAATCAAAAGGCTTGTTTGTTCAATCGCAGTGAGGTCACGCTAACTGATTTTCACCTTAGCCAGTGAATGACGAGTTGATAATGAAGAGGCGATTGGTCAGTGACCAATGTTCATTCACATCTTTAATTCATGCTTTTGGCTCTTTAATGCACTAGGAAATTCGAAACAGGGCTTCTCGAGAAAACTTGGAAAAAATAGTCGAAGAACTGACTACAAAATCTGTTTTACTCTCTACCGGTAACGTAATTTTGGCCACCCACAACGAAAGGAGCTCAAAGAAGGCTCATTATTTGTCACCAATGACCTCATTTACGAACTTCACAAGCTGTGTGCTGGGAAGAAAGTAAGAACATCCTATTTGTGTGCCATTAAAATTCAGCTGGTCGCGCTGGAAAGCCGATCTTCTATAGAGTCGAACGAACACTGGTTTATTGACGCTAAAAGGCGTCAGCAGACCGCCATTAGGCCAATCGTTCACGGCCGCGAGTCAACATGGAGACAGCAGGAACCTCACTGGGAGCCGTGCCTGGATCTCTCTCTCTCTCTCTCTCTCTCTCTCTCTCTCTCTCTCTCTCTCTCTCTCTCTCTCTCTCTCTCTCTCTCTCTCTCTCTCTCTCTCTCTCTCTCTCTCTCTCTCTCTCTCTTGTATTGAATTATGTATATACAGTCGTATTTTTTCACATGAAAGTTCGATTCATTTCAAAGTGTTTTTTTCTACTTGTTTCTTTAATTTCACTAACTTCACAGTTTATTATTTTATCATCCATCAGCATCGCCCACCGACAAAGGCAGGATTCTGCACCACCACGGGCTCCGTCCAGGCCGGCCTCCAAGCCTGGGAACTGCGCCAGACCGCAGCAGCCTCAGCAGGCCGGCTGTAAAGCCCAGCTCAGCGTGGGTGGGGCGCTTGGCTTTTCAGACTGGTGACACGGTGCTTTGACTATCGGCCGATAACATTCAGCCGTCCGTCGGCGGTGGTAGGGTTTGATAGTGGGGTTGTTCAACAGACTTTGGGGATATTTATGAGGTCAATGTGTTTACTGCTGCTGTTGGGCTGGATAGTTCACATACTGCCTGTAAGGAACCGATAGGGAGCTTTTGACATCAGTGGCCAGCCAGCAATCTGTACTGAATGAGCATTTTAATAGCAATAACGTGAAAGGGTGTTGGTCAATTGTTCGCTAGCCATCGGATGCTAAGCTGACCTAGTTGGGAGCCTTGTTCTGTCATTGTTGTTGTTGTTTTTTTTTTCCAAATAACCAGTGGTAATTGAAAACATGCACAAAAGCCGAGTTTTTTCTCCTTCCCCAAGTTCCGGCGAGCTTTTGTAAGAGATGGCCTTGCATGACACCCTTCCTGAGGTCGCGCTAAGCCCACTGAGACGTCAATTCAGTACCATACACTCCAGAATGACCCTTCTTCCCTTGTATTATTTATTCCCTTTCTTTCCAACTCTTCTTCATTATCCACATACTTTTGTCTCTTTCCTTACACCCTTTTTCTCGTTTACCCTATGTCTCTCCCTTTTTCTATGTCTCTCCCTATGTCTCCCGCGCTACGTGGGCTGCCTGGAGCCGTCAGCTGGCGGCGATGGATGTGTGGTGGCTGCGAGGACGGCTCGACGTGGCGGACGTGGACGTGCCAGGGGGAGACGTGCGGGCAAGCATCATCGAAGGGGACAGGGACGGACTTCGGGAAGGGTGCTCGGTGGGGCTGGGGATGGGGGTTTATGTGTTATCTCTCTTAACGTACAATCAGTGAAACCAAAAATTTTGTCATTGCGTCACGATCTCGATCATTTTAGCTGCGACATCTGCATTTTATCGGAAACCTGGCTGAAACCTGAGACTCTATCGAGATTTGTCAACTTCCCAGGCTACTCTCTAACACGGGCTGATCGCTCTGATGGAAGGGGATATGGGGGTGTCGCCGTTCTGTGTAAAGCTGGGTTAAAAGTCAAACGGCTCCGGTCGGTGTGCAACTGCGAGTCTTGCAAACTTGAAACCTTGTGGCTGTCAGTGTCAGACTCTAGAGGTAGGAAATTCAGTTTATGCGCGGCTTATAGACCACCTCGCCCCACCAGTGCTCATTTATCAGCTGACTTCGACTGCTTTGAATCTCAATTTCAGCGTGTACTTTTAATGTCATCCGATCCCATTCTTATCGCCGGTGACTTGAACTGTGACCTGCTCGCTTCGAACTCGAACTGTGGTAGGGTCAGGCTCACAGACTTCTTACACTGTTTTAGTCTCCATCAGTTTGTCAACCAGTCAACTTTTAGAACCGGATCGCTTTTAGACGTTTTCATATCAGATTGCACTACTTTAGTCCAGGATGTATGTGTTATGTCATGTCCATACAGTGATCACTCTTTTATCATAGCACGTCTTACCATACCAAAGATTCGAGCTCGACCCACCATTGTCTACTCTAGACGCCTTGACCGCATCGATACCGCTGTTTTTCATGACTCGCTCTGTCACACCGACTGGAGCCCGGTTTTCTCGCGTGTGGGATTGACGGATCAGTGGGCTGCCTTTACTGAGCTACTCTTACCTATCCTGGACTTTCATGCTCCCTTACGGTGTCTCAAAATTCGCAACCCCTCTGCACCCCCTGCCTCGGACACCACCCTGCGACTCATGGCACGGCGCCGTGGACTTCTTGCCCGAGAGGGCCGGACTCCTGCCTTCCTCGCCCTGGACAAACAAGTAAAATCTGCTATACGTCGTGACGTTAAAAACGACATTGCCAGCCGGGTGAGGAGGCAGGGTGCGGCCTCCACCTTCCGCAACCTTCGGCAGGTGATCGAGGGCAAGAGGTCCACTCAGCGAGTCGTGCCTGAGGCCACCCCCTACGAGCTGAACGAGTACTTTGTGGGGGTCGGCCCTCGGGTCGCGGCTGAGGTCCGGGACAGGGGGGAGCCCCTTCATCTTCATCTTCCTTGCAGGCTACCTAGAGTAGGCGCCTGTGCACTCACCTTACAACCTATTTCCCTTCACTCTCTCCGATGTGTCCTTTTTTCCATGAAAAATTCCTCTTCTTCCGGCTCCGACGGTGTCAGCATCCGGATCCTACGCCTCTGTTTCGACTCCATCGGTCACGTCTTTCTCTACTTTGTCAACACCTGTCTCACAACCTGTGAATTTCCCGCGTCCTGGAAGCACTCTATCGTCCACCCCATCCACAAAGCGGGCAATCCTTCTGATCCATCCAACTATCGACCTATCTCAATTGTTCCTGCCTTTGCCAAACTTGTAGAAAAAGTTGCTCAGCAGCAGCTGTACACCTACATGTCTGGCAACCATCTGTTTTCCTCATCCCAGCACGGTTTCCGCTCCTGTCTCTCCACAGAAACCGCGCTCGCCACCGTATCCGATCACATCCTCTCTGCCACCGACCGTCAGGAACTCACTCTCCTATGTCTCCTCGATCTCTCCAAATGCTTTGACGTCATCGACCACTCAAAGCTACTATCCAAACTTCAAACCTATTCTATCGATCCGACCTGGTTTTCTTCTTACCTCCGTGGCCATTCCCAATCAGTTTGCACAACTGACGGGCGAGGAAACCGAGTCCTCTCCGATCCTCTACCCAATCCTATCGGCGTGTTCCAAGGATCCTCGCTGGGCCCGCTCCTGTTCCAAATATTTGCCAATGACCTCCCTCTTTTCGCTCCCGGGGCCCACGTGGTGCAGTACGCTGATGATACCCAAATTCTACTTTCTGGCAAAAAGATTCCCTCCCTCATCTCATCGCCACTTTAGAACAAATTTTGGACTCTGTTGATGCCTGGTTTCATACCAACGGCTTAAAAGTTAACACAGCTAAAACTGAGCTCATCGTCTTTGGCTCGCGCCAAAATTGCCGCAGCCTGGATCCCATCTCGATTCGGTTCCGTGAGGACACGATCCGTGAGGGCCCCACGGTGAGGAACCTTGGCGTGGTTTTCGACAAGCACCTCACCTGGGACGCTCACGTATCGGCCCTCGTCCAAAAATGCAACGGTATCCTCATTGGGCTGTCCCACGTGCGTCACCACATCCCTTGTGAACTTCTGCCACAACCGTGGTCAGCGCCTTGGTCCTCTCGCACGTCCGATATTGTCTCTCGGTCTATGGAAACGGGTCGGACAAAAACACACAACGCCTCCAAAAAGTTCTCAATTTTGCGCTGCGCGTTGTGTCCGGCCGAAGAAAATTTGACCACATATCGGACGTGCGAGAGGAACTGGGCTGGCCTACCGCCCGTCAGTTGTACGAAATCCACTCTCTTAACTTCCTCCACAAAATACGCTGCACCGAAGAGCCGGATACTATGTCCTCCCAAATCCTGGCCAACTCTTCCCTTCGCTCACGCTCAACCCGGCGGGACACTGATCTGTCTCTCCCACGCGTGAGAACCGAAGCAGGGAGGCGGCGCCTGCTCTACAGCATAGCCCAGTTGTACAACCGTCTGCCCCATGACATTAGACATCTCCCTCTGGGAGCTTTTAAACGCTCTGTTTCCGAGTTGTATCTGCGTGTTTAAGGATGAATGTGTGATTTGAATTGTGTTCTGTTGATGTGATTGATGAGTGTATCTTAACTTGTTTTTCCTTTTAACCGTGACGCGACACTCGGAATAGCCATTTTACTGTGGAGTGTTTTAACTGTCAAATACAAATACAAATACAAATTTTGCTTTGACCTCTCCCCTTCTTCCTGCTCTCCTCATCTGTTCTCTTTCTCTCTCTCTCCTCTCTCTTCCTTTGCCCTCTCCCCTCTTCTCTGTTCTCCTCATCTGCCCTCTCCACTCCCCTGCCCTCCCCTGTCCGTTGGCCTGCGCCGGGTCGTCCATCATTGTTCACCGCTTCGTCGGCTCCGTGTCCACCGACCCGTATCGGCCCATTGGCCGGTATACATTCGCCGCCTTTGCATCCTATGGAAATGGCACCAATGGTGG